AAAATATAATAGGCAAACAGCTTATCTTTTTTTCCATAATCCTATATTTGTCTGTACTTTGGTTAACTTAAGCAATCTTTCCCTTACTCTATTACATTGACATCCAAATCTTGTTAAAATTCTTTTTTTTTATATTATTATTTTTTTTTTATATTATTATTTTTTTTATTTAAATATATAATTTTCAAACCATTAACCACTTGCAAATCATCATGAAATCATCAAGTGGCCTAACTAAAAGAAACATATCCACTCAATTTGCTTCACAATCTTCTATTCTCACTCCTCCCTTCTCAACTATTAGTTTTTAATACTTTTCTCATCAAAACTTTTGTTTTTAACATATTAGGAAATATGTTAAAAACAAAATTTATTTAAAATTCTAAAATTGCAAGTCCTTCATTAGTATTGCAAAATATAAAAAAAATTCTTAACAAAAAAAAGTTCATGTGGCCCATATCTGCTATTAAATGATAGCTTCATCCGATTTATGAGATGGCATAAATGTGGGCTATATGTGGCTATGGTAAGGCTCACATAAACGCTATTCCATAAATTGATCATGGCTTTCACATATGGCCAGTGACGGATCAAGCATTTTTTGGTCTTTGAGATTGCTAACCTTCTGGCATGGAGCAAACTCCAAATATTTTTTGTTTATATTTATGTCAAATAATGATGCTTTGCATCATTATTTAACATAAATTTGCGATGTTTGAAGACTGGGAACAAAAAAGTCATAAGGTTTCATCCATCCACCCATAAACGTAAGGGGAACAAGTTACTAAAATATTTATTACTTTTCTCAACAAGAAAAATTCATCAATAAAATTTTAAGTTTTATAGCATTATCTCTAAGTGTTTAAAAATTATGACCATATAAAGTTTAAACCCCCTTCAATTTGAGGGGTTACAAATTTTATTTGTAAATTTTAGGGTTTTTTTCAGTCCTAGCCTCCAATCATAGCAATTTTTTGCAAATTATTTAACATAAATATAAACATACAATGTTAGGAGTTTGCACCATGTCAGATATCTCAAACAGCAAAAAATGCTGGATCCCTTACTGCATATGGCCCGCATCAAGTTTCTTGTCGGTTTATGAGTAATAATTTTATTCGTTCAGATATTTGTATTTTAAATTAGTGATAACGTATAAATGCGCAAAAATTTACGCTAATTTTAGCTGACTTTTTTCTTCTTTTTCTTGCGAGTCTAAAAATGTGAACATCCTGCAATGTATTTTTACAAAGTACTTGATCTTCTTTTGATTTATATGAACAAATCTTACAAAAATTGTATTAACAAGGTTTTTTGTCAAAAAAGAAGGATTCAATATTGACTAAACTTTACTATTTATCAAATAGTTACTACTTACAAAAAAGTAATTAATGGAATATAAGTTTTAAAATTCGGCATAACTATATTCTCTACGCATGAGTGCTTGCGTTTAGTGCTCAGGTAAGCTCCATCTTGCTTTTGTTAGCAATAATAACGAAGTTGTTAAACTTTTTTTTAATTTAATTTACTCATTTCTTCAAAGAAAAACATTCCATCTGTCTGATATACCACATTGTTTAAGTTAGTGCAAGGCAATGAGTATAACAGAGTAAAACCGCATGGAAACCTTTTAACTAAAAATTTATAATTTAACACTTCCTGATTGGTTAATGGTTCCCATGGATTCTAAGAATGTGCTGGCGCATTAAAACCCACCATTTTTGTTGTTGAAACAAGGTGACTCGTACAATGTCACATGATAATCATCACGTGTCAAAATAATAGAAATAATTTTTAATTCGCTACACTTTTAGTCACATGTACATTGTAACTAATGCACGCGTAAACTAAAACTTAAAAAAACATTCTAACGGGTTGTCTTCCGAAATATCATGCTCTATGTTATTTTTAAACCCTAAATTAAATTTCGATGAAATCAAATCTTGTTGTTTTAATTTTTTTATTAGATTTGTTTTTATAGTGTAAAGAAATATAAAGTGAAATACTTCGATGTATTAGCTTTATTTTAAAGTTTATTAATGTAACTACCTATATATGAGAGTATTAACGAGATGATTGTGGGGGCGAGGTGATGTGTGTATATTCATTATAAGGCAATAACAACGTTTATTATTTTTTAAAAATAAAAATATATAATTATTTAGAAGGAAATGAAAATTTCATTTCTGAACTCTAACTTTTAGTATTACTATCTTATAGCATAAAGATGTTGTTATTATTACTATTATTTATAATTATTACTAGGATATATATATATATATATATATATATATATATATATATATATATATATATATATATATATATCTGTGTGTGTGTATGTATATATATATACATACATATATTATATGTATATATACAAACACACATACATACATACATACATACATACATACATACATACATACATACATACATACATACATACATACATACATACATACATACATAAATACATACATACATACATACATACATACATACATACATACATACATACATACATATATCTGTACCTGAGAGCCAACTTGTCTTAACTCTATTTTTTAATTGGGATCCAACTTGTGTTAACTCCATACATTACACACACACATATATATATATATATATATATATATATATATATATATATATATATATATATATATATATATATATATATATATATATATATATATATATATATACATTACATATATATATACATTACATATATGTATACATTAAATATATATATATATATATATATATATATATACATAAATATATTATATTTGAATATATATATTATATATATTCAAATACAATATTTTTGAATATATATATATATATATATATATATATATATATATATATATATATATATATATTTATATATATGCAATCTAAGGTATAATATATAAAAAACATTTGTTACAGTAAAAAAATATTTTTTTATTCTTAATTTTTTGAAAATAATATAAATAATATTGACATTTTATTATATATATATATATATATATATATATATATATATATATATATATATATATATATATATATATATATATATATATATAAATATATATATATATTAAAATGCCAATATTATTCAAATTATTTTCAAAAAATTAAGAATAAAAAAATATTTTTTTACTGTAACAAATGTTTCTTATATATTATACCTTAGATTGCACCTTCCTGAAATGGAACTCTTAGTTGATGAATATATTGAGACCCTATTGATAGCTTTTTCAGTATGATGTCATCAGTTATGTTTATGCATAGCTAATTGCAAAAAATATATCTTACAAACATTGATTTTTTTTTTACTTTTACTGTAACGGTTCACTAATTGCTCAAAGCATGCTCTCAAAACCTCTAGTTTTTTTCTACAAACATCTACAATTTTTAATTCTCTTCTATCTTTATGTTGTTCTAAGTCATACAGTATATGATTTTTATTCCCTTTAATTTACTTTTTTACTTTTAACTTCCAATTTAAATAGTAGTTGCTAGCATTCTTTTTAGAAATAAATTTGTCATAAAAAAAAGGCAAAAACCTGGCTAAGTTTTGTATATATATATATATATATATATATATATATATATATATATATATATATATATATATATATATATATATATATATATATATATATATATATATATATATATATATATATTCAAGTGCTTTTCTAAGAAAATAATTTATGTAACACCCCAACGCCCAAAATTATTGGTGTATATAGGTATTTTTTTTGTCAAAAAATAAATATTAGCTGTAAAAAAAGAAAAAGGTCCTTGATTCCTGAATTTGGGTGGCATTCCTTTGCGACAGTAGGTTATAAGATAGTCAATGTATTTACTGAAGCCCCTGGTAGCAGGCTATTTTAGTGTGATATCATCTAAACATACATTCATAGTTAAATATATATATAATATATATATATATATATATATATATATATATATATATATATGTGTGTGTGTGTATATATATATATATATATATATATATATATATATATATATATATATATATATATATATATATATATATATATATATATATATATATATATATATAGACACACACACACACACACACACACACACATATATATATATATATATATATATATATATATATATATATATATATATATATATATATATATATATATATATATATATATATAAATATATTGGTTACAATCAGATAGTGGTGTAGTGGTAAAGTATAACAACCATACTTACATATGATTGTTATGTTTTTGTATAATTTGCTTATTTTTGAGACACAGGTTGGTATTGATTTGCTAAATTTATGAATTTGATAATATCAACGACTTATCCTATGTTTAGTAGTCTTTAGCTAGCCCCTAAAAAAAAAAAAAATCTATCCTTATGTTAACATTTGCTGATTTTTTTTTTGCTGACCTGAATCCATGTAATCTTAGAAGAAAAAAGAGAATAAAGAATAATGCAAAAACTTATGGCTACAAAAACAATACAAACCCTGAGTTGATGTTGGTGCAGCTCCCTTACATTGATTCCTTATATCAGTTAATGTATATTCTAAAGCACTCAACAGCTCTTTATTTTAGTTTGTCACCAGAGTGCCCGTTAAAGTATGCCTTTACATGTATATGTATATATATATATATATAAAGGTATAATTTACAAGTATATATATATACATATACATGTAAAACCGGCACTCGGTGACATACTTAAATAAAGAGATGTTAAGTGCTTTAGAACATACATTAACTGATATAAGGAGAACATGCATGGGAGCTGCACCTACATCAACTCAGGGTTTGTATTGGTTTTGTAGCAATTTATTATTTATAGTTTTTGCATTATTCTTTATTTTCTTTTTTCTTAAGATATTACATGGCAAAAAAAATGTGTGTGTATGTTTGTATATAAATAAATATATTATATATATATATATATATATATATATATATATATATATATATATATATATATAGTCTTTACTTTAAGTGTTAATATTATGATATACCTGGCTTGAAAATATGAAATATAATAATGGAGAAAACATTTTTACAATTAATAATGAAAACATATCGCCTGGTTTTGATGAAGTCATGGTTGCGATGAAACCTTCTATAAATACAACTACACTGACAGCTGCCAGAACAAATATACCTTCTTCAATTCATACTAAAATAAAAGACTCTAATCTTAAAATTGGATTGTCTCTGAATAAAACTTTTAGTTTTGAAAATGAACTTGTTGTTGGACCAGAAAGCCCAGTTTCATTAAGCAGTATGTATTCATCTCCTTCTATTAGTCCTATTAGGTCTTTGAGTCAGTCAGCAGGGTGTAATAAGCTTCATTCAGCAATAAAAAAAGCGCAAATAAATCTTAGCCAAAGTTGTTTTGCAGATTTAGGTGGTAATAAAGCAGGAGATATTGACAGCGAACTTACATGTTTAAATTGGCTTCAAAATGGTAATTTAATAAATGGATTTACACCTGGTATGGCTAAAAAAGAGAGTCTACCAGAGGAGGAGGATAACTCCCAAGAGTTAAGAACTACATCTGATGCTACTGAGACTATTAATGATGTTGACCAATCATTAAGAAAACCTGCTTATTCATTTTCAACCCTTATTTTTATGGCTATTGAAAATGCAAAAGACAAGCGTTTACCAGTTAAAGATATATATAGATGGATACAAGAAACTTTTCCTTATTTTCAAAAAGCTCCAGTGGGTTGGAAAAATTCAGTGCGCCATAATCTCTCATTAAATAAATCTTTTAAAAAAGTTGACAAGGAGAAAGTATGTTGCTTTTTTAGCTTAAAAATTATAACTAAATTAATAAAAAAATTTAAAAATATAAATTGTTGAAATTTTACCCTTTATAATTATTTCAAGATATGTGTTAAGTTAAAAGCCCAGAAAATTTTTATAGTGCATTGGTAAAGGTTCTCTTTGGACCATTGATCATGAAGCTAGAGCAGGACTTGTTCAGCAGTTACGAAAAACAACATATCATTCTTATCCCTATGCCCGCCCGTATCCACAAAATTATACAAAGTAAGTTAATTTAACATTCACAGTTAAAATTTTCACAGTTATCAAGAATTTAACTATTTATCAGTGTTACAAAAGTTTTATCAAAGCCATAGTTAAATCTTTTTTATTGAGTCATGTCTTTTAAATAATGACACTATTTGAGTGAATAGAACATTAAATTCAGAATAAGTTTTGAAAATTAAAAAAAATTATAAATGTAGATGATTAATATAAAAAAATTCTAACTTGATTATAAAAGTAAATGATTAATATAAAAAATCAGTATAGTATAAAAGATAAGTATAATTTTCATATGTTGTGGTAAATGTCCACTTTCTAAACTTAACAAAAAGCCTTAAAATTTGTTTATGCTCGTTATTTTTAACTTAACAATGTCATTTAAAAAAAAAAAAAGAAATTGTTTAATGTTTTATATTTGTTCATTTAAGTCACATATTTGTCTTCTCTCAGATTCAATATGAAAAAGATTTGGTTGAAGTTTGATAAATAAAATAACATTCAAAAAAATAAATTTTATTGAATGATATGCTAACTCATTTATTTCTTTTAGACATCTATAATCTATAAAAAAAAAAAAAAAGAATAAAAATGACGTATCTTTTATTTAATAACCATTTTAAGATTAGCGATTTAAAAAAAAAAGTTATTAAAAGGTTTTACCTGTAGTATACATGTTATTAAACCATATAACATGGAAATCTTTAAAGTTTAATGTAATATATATTTATCTAATTTGATAATGCATAGTAAATTTAAAAAACTTTTACATTCTAAGAGAAATAAATTTTCAAGATTTTAAGATCTTTTAAAAACCTTTAGAATTTTAAAAATAAAAAATCAATTTATAAAAATTCATGTTTCAGGTATTTTTCAAAAGATAGGGCAATGTGCAAAAGAGGTATTCCTTATTTTTGTCTTAACTGACATTTTCTTTATACAATGTTTCATAACAAACACATTCACTTTTGATTTGAATAACTTGTTATAGTATTGATATTAACAATATTTTATTGTTCATTGTTTATTTTTATTATTCATAGTTTTTTAATATATACAATTTTGGTTTGGATGTTGCTTTTTAACCAGCCACTAAAAAAAAAAATTAAAAAACCTATATAGGAAAATTTGTTTTTATTACAATAGATTATAAAATTTTTATAAAATTAATATTTAGTTAAAAAAAGAAAAAATATTTTTTACTTGAGTAAGAGTTCTAACCCAGGTATGAAAAAAAACTCTGTCCAATTTATGTTCAGGAATATAAGGGTTGGTCCTTAAAACATGAACACCTTTAACTTTCACGCAACAATTTTCTGATATTAAACTTATTCTACTTATTTTGCTGAAGATAAAATACCAAAGAGAAGAAAAACTTTGATATCCTGAATTTAATTGTAGGTCAGGTGCAAGAAATTTGTTAACCATGAGTGGTTTCAGATGATGGTTATCTTCCTAGTGATATCAAAATAAAAAATTTAGTTCTTAAAAAATTGCTATAACTTTTCTATGATGTCATGTTTAAATAAGATTAATGGAAACTTGTTTAATTGTAAAACTTAACATAAAAAAATCAGTTTTGTGTAGATAGTTTTAGTTATAATATTTTGATTTTTTACACATATTGGCTAAATGGTAGCATTCTATATTCCAATTTGTATATAGTAATTTTTATTGATGGTATATACTGTAAATTTTATCATTTTTTAATTTTTTATTTATTTACTACAGTTCAACAATGTATTTTCTTATTTATATATGACATGAATCATGTGCTTTTTCTAATACTAACCTGTTTTACCTGTTTTACCTGTTTTACAGAATGAGTATTTTTATAATACTACATTTAATAAGGTTACCACCCAAGGTTTAGAGGTTCTTTGTACCTTTACCTACATATAAATATACATATAAAAATTACCTACATATAATACTACAACTAATAAGGTTACCACCCAAGGTTTGGTACCCGTACCTACATATAAAATATGGCTTATAAATATATGAGTTTTTCTTCCCTCTTCGGCTCTTATTAATTAATATTACCTATCAATAATTCATAAATAGTAGTTGATAATAACTATAATATTTTGATATTGTAAGTTTATATTCTGTCTTACAATATAGAATTATATTTACTATTCATCATTACAAAGAATTGGAAAATCAGTTTAAATATTTTTTTCTGTAAATTTAAAAAAATAAAATTTTAAATAAATAGGTTGTTTAGGTGAAATAAATATCATAATTTAATAAAATGATCATTTATTAGCATTTTTCTTAATTTTAAGCTTTTTCTTGGTTGGAAATTTTTAATTTTTTGGGAAAATTGATAGAAAAGTTGTTTTTCACAACTATATTTAATTAATGTGTATCAAAACATATTAGAACTTGGATCTATAGTAAATTAACACACTTTTTCAAAAAAACTTTTACTAAAATCAAGTTAACACTGTTAAGCAAAATTGATCTAAAGACTCACAAATAGTGTTCTTTAAGTTCACTATTAGGGGTAGTTTTAAAAATTATATAAAAAAGAGAAAAGTTTCTTTAAACATTATAAAAACCTAAAGGAAAAATAGTTATAACATCCAAAGCTCTTGTTTAGACAATACTAGTTTAATTTTTTCTTAAGTCAGCATTTAGATAAGACATGTCTAGCTACCCATTTTCTAATAAAAAGTTTTTAATTTTGTTTAAACATGTCTAATTTGATTTAAACATGTTAGTTTATTTTGTTTTTAATAAGATATTCAATTAATGGACTGTGAGAGGTGTATATCCTGATGGAATACCCTTAAAATAGTCCTTTTGGGATAACATATTGGGGGTACTACTCTAACAAAAAGATACCCTGATGTAACAAAAAGATATCCTGATGTTCTGAGTGGAACTTCTTATGGGATACCAGTTTTGGATGAAAGCTATAGGTCTTCTTGTTTTCATACTGTACCATAAGGCACAAATCCATCAAGACATCTATGAAACACATACATATATTTATCACGCTAATAATACAGACCACATGGTAACTACTTATAAAACAATTAATTCTGCTCCGTCACTGACACTACCTATACATCACATTTATGCTCCACACTAACAACATTTCAGTTGCACAACAATTAATGAATCTTACTTTCCTGGACTGTTATTGTTCCTGTTTATATTTAACTACATTTTACTAAAATCAATTTTTAGTATTTTTCTTCTTAAAGGCTCTTTGTTTACCACTGGAAATCTGCTCTTTTGTACTTTTATCTCACTCTCCTACACTCTTTTTAACTTATAATCCATCTCTATGGCATTCACTGCTCGGTGAAGCTTCACTAAATGCATTGCATTTACAAAAAAAATTTAATTAGAAAGAGAATCTATACCTGGTACAACCATATGCTTATGTATTAAAGAAAATTTTAGGAAATGTAGTCTGCAAGTATAGCCATGTAAAAACTTATAATTACATGTAATTTTGTAAAGGAAGTTTAAAATTTAAAATGCAAAGTATTGCATAACTGTTTGTGTATTCTCTAAATAAGTATTTATGGAAGTTGACACCTTGTTAAAAATTTTTTTGAAGAATTATCAAGTTTTGATATGAGTGATGTAAGAATATTGCAAGGTTTTTAAAAAATCATTTAGAAAAATAAGAAGATTAGGAAAAAGTAACTTATCTCTTTTTTGCCTTCATAAAAATAAAAGTCAAAGCATCTGAAATAAAGACAGCAACTGTTAGATTTTTTTCTAAGTTAGATAATTAAAGCTCTTTGAAAAGAGTCTAATAGAGATCCGAAATCTGTGTTGTAAACTTATCTCACAATCCAAAAAATAAAGTTTTGGAAGTAGAATCATAACTTATGATTAAGAAATTCTATAAAGTTCATTGGGGTCTTTTTTAAAAGATATTTTTTTGTTGGTTGTAGGAAAATTTGTGGACTGGGTTAAATATACCACATTCAAACATTTTTGACAAATTAGTGTTTTTTTGATGATTATTTAAAGTTAATTTTTTTTTTTTAGATGACAGCTAAAAAAGTAATTTATTAGGTATACTTAAGGAAAAGAAAATTCACAAATTTAATTAATTTGGGGCCTGGTTCCTACTGTTTATTGATAAGAAAGTTAATACTTAAAAACAAGTATTTGATCAAATTGGATTTAAAATGAGGGAAGAGTTCTAATGGTGTGTTATTGCTACATATATTTGAAGATAAAAATTAAAAACAGATATTGCCAGCAGGTATTTTTACAAACCAGCAAGTTGATTGTCTGAGCTGCGCAACAACAGTGCTTTGGTAGAATAATATGATTGTTGCAACTTTCTAGAAATTTCCTCCAAAAAAGTTGATCAGTTCAGGATCCTACTTCTCTCTTTATTTTTCCTACTCTAATAAACCAAACCAGTTAAAGGCATTAATATAGTATGAACCATTGTTAAATGGTTCTAATCTAGCTAAAATACCAGATTTCAATTGACTACAACATTTTTAAATTTGCAAAATATTTTCTGGAATTAGAAACAGAAAAATCTAGATGATAGAAAAATCTAGATTAATGCATGTGTAATATAAATAATACATCAAGTTTTCTCTATAATTAGACATTCATCCCTATTTACTAATAGTTCTAGAAGTGTGGTGGCAACAGAAGGAAAATATTTTTAAAATTTAGTGCATGCCCTAATACTTAATTGAATCTGCAAGTACACTCATCTACAGATAAGTTTGACCTAATCAGTTTGAACTTATCTGATTTCTTGGTCACATATATTTGTACATATATAGTCACTATTTAAACTAAAATGAGAAAATTCTTTTAAATAGTTTTTTATTCTTCCAATTGTTCTTCAGAACGTACTTCAGACACAGTGATAAAAATCAACAAAAGATTTTTGGTTGTGTAAAAGCAAGTTAACTAATATGTGAAAAAAAATTTAATGAATTTTAGTATTTACATTTTTTGCTGTGTAAAAAAAAGTTAACTAACTAATATGTGAAAAAAAAGTTGATGAATTTTAATATTTGCATTTTTAAACCATTTTACCTTCTCCCCCAAGCTTTCTCAGGGCAGTGTTTTTCAGAGTAGCTCCATTTATGGGTGGCTTTAGGTGTTACTTTGCCTCAAGAGAACTATGGTGGGCACTTCACTAGTCAGTTTTAGCATTTTTATTAACATTTTAAATTATTTTGGTATAATCCAAATTTTGTGTTTTTGTGTAGTCAGGTTTCCCGAACTCTGTGGTAGCTCTCAGAGAGGCTTATTCCATCAACAGCCGAAAAATATCAGAGTACTAACAGTGCCATGTTGCGCATGGATGGTGTCCCTGTTTGTACTTTTGGTGTGCATTGCAGAGGCCACATTTGGAGCCCTTTGCTACGGCTTAGGGTTTATTAATAGTAATGAGGCTATTGCTTAGTTGTTAAATAGTGTACTGAGTACTATCTATACTTGAGTCAAGTTCTTTATAAATTTAAAATGACTAAAGTACCTAAAACTAAAAAACACAAAAAACCATTGTCATCACCAAGTTCTCTAAACCTATCATTTACTAATATTCGTGGTCTTCGAAGTAACTTTTCTTCTGTTGAGTCTTATCTCTTGCAAAGTTCACCAGACCTACTTGCTTTTTGTGAGACTAATTTGAGTTCAGCTGTCCCATCTTGTGATCTTAGTGTTGATGGTTATCTTCCTTTAATTCGTAAAGACTCCAATAATCACATGCTTGGCCTGGGCATCTACATTCGTAAGAACTCACCCATTTGTCGTGAAACTAGGTTTGAATCTACAGACTATTCATTTATGTGCTTTCGTTTAGCACAACTTCACTCTATCGCCTTTCTCTTTGTTCTATATCGCTCTCCTTCATCCCAAGATTGCACTATTCTTGATGTTATTTCTGATCAAATTGACCAAGCCCTCTCTCTTTATCCATCGGCCAATATTGTCGTTGTTGGTGACTTTAATGCCCATCACACCGATTGGCTTGGCTCTAGTGTCAGTGACTCTGCTGGCGTTAAGGCCCTCAACTTTTGCCTTTCTCAATCTCTAACTCAAATAGTCAACTTTCCAACTCGTTTTCCAGACAACCCTAATCATTTACCTTCTCTACTCGACTTATGTCTTGTTTTGGATCCTAGTCAGTGCTCAATTTCTCCACATTCACCCTTAGGTACTTCTGATCACGGTTTGATCTCTCTAAAACTATTATCAAATTCTTCTACTTCATCAGAATCCCCCTATCATCGTACCACATACAACTACCTTAAAGCTGACTGGGACTCTTTCCGTGATTTTCTTCGTGATGGCCCTTGGGTAGAAATCTTTCGTCTTCCTGCTGACAAATGTGCTTCTTACATAACTTCGTGGATTCAGGCTGGCATGGAATCTTTTATTCCCTCTCGACGATTCCAGGTCAAGCCTCACTCTTCTCCTTGGTTTTCCTCACATTGCGCAGTAGCAATTTCTAATCGAAACCGTTACTTCCATATCTATCAGCAAAATAATTCTCCAGAAAACAGACATCTGTTCACTATCGCCAGAAACCATTGTAAAAAGGTTTTGTCTGACGCCAAAGCTCGCTATTCCCAGGTCATTAAATCTCGTATCTCATCACAAAAATTAGGCTCTCGAGACTTCTGGAGAATCTTTAACAGTATCAATAATAAGGGCAAATCTGTTATTCCTTCTCTCTTGTATGGTTCAGACTTTGTCACCTCACCTAAAGACAAAGCTGAATTGTTTGCTAAGAACTTTTCATCAATATCATCTCTTGATTCCACTAGTTGCGTTTTACCTGACATAACCGTCAAACAGGTTGATCCCTTGCTTGACATTCGCATCACTTCAGCTTCTGTATCTAAAGTAATTTCCTGCTTAGACTCTTCAACAGCTTGTGGTCCTGACAACATTCCTGTTGTAGTCTTGCAGAGGTGTTCTCCGGAGCTTTCATCCATACTTTCTAAACTATTTAACAAGTGCTTATCTGAGTCTTGTTTTCCATCATGCTGGAAAGCAGCATCTGTTATCCCTATTTTCAAAAATTCCGGGGAGCGATCTGATTCATCTAACTACCGTCCCATTAGTCTTCTTCCTGTCATAAGCAAGGTTTTTGAATCTTTAATCAACAAACACTTAATCTCTCATCTTGAATCAAATAACTTACTTTCTGATCATCAATATGGATTTCGGTCTTCTCGTTCTACAGCTGATGTGCTAACAGTAATAACCGATAGGTTTTACCGTGCATTAGATAGAGGTGGAGAGGTTAAGGCTATCGCACTTGACATTTCTAAAGCTTTTGATAAAGTTTGGCATGCTGGTCTTCTCCATAAGCTTTCTTCTTATGGTGTAGCTGGTAACGTCTTTAAGATTATTGAGTCCTTTCTTTCCAATCGTAGTATAAAAGTTGTCCTCGATGGACAACACTCTTCTTCACATCCTGTTACTTCAGGGGTTCCTCAAGGTTCAATCCTTGGCCCTATACTCTTTTTAATTTACATTAACGATCTTCCAGATATTCTCACATCTAAGGTGGCATTATTCGCTGACGACACTACCATTTACTCTTGTCATGATAAGAAGCCTACACTCTCTGATTGCTTGGAGGGGGTATCTGAGCTTGAAAAGGATCTCACTTCTGCTACAGCATGGGGCTCACAGTGGCTGGTGAACTTTAATTCAGATAAAACTCAATTTTATTCGGCCAATCGTTATCGTAATAATTTAGATCTTCCTATATTTATGAATGGTAATGTACTAGATGAGTCATCTACCATTCATCTTCTAGGATTAACTCTTACTTCTGATCTTTCTTTTAAACCGTATATTAAATCCATTGCAAAATTAGCATCTGCTAAGGTTGCATCTCTTTATCGAGCTCGACACTTTCTTACTCCAGATTCTATTCTCTATCTCTATAAATCTCAAATCCGTCCCTGTATGGAATACTGTTGCCACATCTGGGGCGGATCTTCTAATGATGCTCTTTCTCTTTTAGACAAGGTGCAAAAACGAATTGTAAACATAGTTGGACCTGCTCTGGCAGCCAATCTCCAACCTTTGTCACATCGTCGTAATGTTGCTTCTCTTTCTCTTTTCTACAAATACTATAATGGGCACTGCTCTAAAGAGCTAGCGTCTCTTGTGCCATCTACTAAAATTCATTCTCGTGTTACTCGCCATTCAATTAAGTCTCATCCTTTTTCTGTGACTGTTCCTAAGTGCTTCAAAAACTCTTATTCTTCTAGTTTTTTTCCTCGAACATCAGTTCTTTGGAATTCGCTTCCTTCATCTTGCTTTCCTGATTCATATAATTTGCAATCTTTTAAGTCATCAGTCAATCGTTATCTTGCTCTACAGATTTAGTCTTTTCTCTTCCAGTAACTTCCAACTCTTATAGTGGTTGCTTGCAGCCTTGTTGGAAGTGAAGATGTTAAAAAAAAAAAAAAAAAAAAAAAAAAAAAAAAAAAAAAAAATGAAGAATAAAGAAAAAACTTGTGATAAACAAATTTTGTGTTTGTTATAGTTTGTTACAATACAATGAATAAAAGTTTAAAGCAATTGTTAAATTAAAAATTTTAAATATACAAAACTTTTGATTTTGGTGCCCCAAGAAGACCTAACGGATTTATAACAGAGCACCGCGGCAGAGCATTTATTTAGGAAATGTATACCTCCTTCATTACCATTTGAGCAAAATATGCCCAGAGCTCACATTGAACCCAAGATCTCTTGCTTCTAAAGCAAGCACTCTAACCACTGCGCCACAGTTGGTTTGTGTGTGTGTGTATATATATATATATATATATATATATATATATATATATATATATATATATATATATATATATATATATATATATATATATATTAGCAGTAAGCAACCCGTAATACGCGTTGTTAGTAAATAAAATTTAAAAAAAAAACCGCGTATAGAAAAGCCTAGAAACTACTTTAAAATAGAAAAGCCTAGAAAATGACGTAACTCGACTAATAATAATATTAAATTAGTGTATTCATATTATCAGATATATATATATATATATATATATATATATATATATATATATATATATATATATATATATATATATATATATATATATATATACACACACACAGTCGAGGAGACTATTTTAGTTGTGGTTGCAACCCTCTCTCAACTCTATAATTCTGAAGCACGAACCTTGATAAACAAGACTGCTGCGCTGAGAAATAAGTTGATAAATATATAAGCATGGAATATGCTGTTGACCCAGAATTCAGTATAGTTAGTATTCAGTTTTCCAATAAGCATCTTGAGAAATTGGGATATTTATAAGTTTAAATATTAAACTAAAAAGTTAATGAAAGTTGTACAGTTTAATTCTTTGAACTAGAGTTGCAGCAGCTCCAAATTGAAAAGGTTGAACTTATTTTGCATAACAAGCCTTTAATTCTCAAAATTAAACTTATAACATTCAAAATTGGTGTTAACATGTATTGACCAAAGTTTTTAAAATATTTATAAGTTAAAACAGATTTTTTTTAGTATATCATGTTATTATTATATATAAGCTATAGTTTTTGGTGGAAAGGATTTATGTTGAACATTTTGGTTGTAAAGCTTTCACACATCAATGACCAATAAAATTATAGTTTATCAATATTAATCTGCCCCAGCTTACTTTACAAATTACTTATTCAAAATTAAAAAAGAAAATTTTTTTTTTTTTTTTTTGAAATAGTTTTTAATTTTTTTGAACTTTTAGATTCTGCTGGAAGATTTGTGGCCAATAGAGGTATGATATTTATTATCTCCTTTTTAATTTTTTAATTATTGTTTGCTGAAATGTAGTTATTGATAAATTTTTAATTTTCAAAAAAGATGATGCTGAGTTTGATGCAGCTGCTATTATGTGTTCACTTAGTGCACCATCTCTTTTTCGTTACATGGAGCGTAAGTGTTATCATTTGCATTATTTACTTAATTTACTATATTTACTTAACACAACATTTTTTAAAAGAATTTTGCTTTAATTTTGAGATTTAATCAAAAGCAAATACTATTGCTTTTATTTTTCAGATATTTATTAAAAATTAAATTATTTAATAATATATTTAAATAAATAAATTTTTGTATATATTTAAATAAATAAATTTATTTATTATTTATTCTACTTGTAATTTACTCTAGCTATTTTGCTGAATTGTTAAATTTTTGTTTTTATCAATTTGTTGATGTAATATTTGTATACAAAATGTTTTACATTATAAGATAAAATTTATTGTAAAACGTTTTTTATACAATTAATCTTAAATAGTGTTAAAATACTAATCTCAAGTAAACACCTAAAAAAAATAATACATTAATTTTCACAACATAATTAAAATAGCAGTAGCAAACTAACAAAATACAACAACAATATTGATAATAATAGTAATAATATAAACAATGGTAGTGACAATAGTAATAACATGTTATTTTAGTTTCGAAAATAATGTAGAAGATACTAAACATTGAGAGCAACTTTGTATAAAGTTGAAATGGAAGAAGATTTTTATTAAGCATTAATTTTTACTTTTACATGCTCTAGAGTAGGAATAGGAATTATTGGATTTTTGTTGGAATATGTATACAATAATATTACAAAAAATCTTAAATTTTTTTATTGTTTCAAGTTTTGTTTAAACTATTAGAAATTTAAATTAAAATTTAGTATTTTTGTAATTAACATCTAAAATGTCTAAATGGGCTTAGGCTCTCTCAATTTTACCCTTGCTCTGTTTGTGATTCTTATCCAATTTTATAAACACTTTTTTCTATTTATATTGAACAAATACTCTTGAATAATTTTTTTTTTGTAATGTGTATATAAAATATATAAAATGCTTAAATGGGTGAATGCCTCCTCAAATACCAATTAATACCTTTTCAATTTATATACCTAATACCTTTTCGATTTTACTCTATCTTCCTATTTATGACTCTTAATTTAATTAATTTTAACACTTTATTTCTATTTTAAATAAACATTTTTTATAGTTGCAAGACTCCTAATAAAAAACATTTGAGTGGCATGACATAATATCTTGCTATCTCATTGGCCAACATTGCTTAGCTAGCCTCAAAGTGTTTTCAAAGCATTTCTTTAGGTACTCACATGCTGATGATTGTCAATAAACAGTTAAGCATCACCCTTATAAACACCACCTTTTTAACAGTATAAACACCACCTTTTTTATCCATTTATTTAAACATAATATTGAAAAAATTACAAATTTAGTTGTAATTTTACAAAATTAGGTTTGACATCACCTGGGCTGCCCTGAAGAGGTCTTCTATGGGGCGGGGGGGGGGTATGTATTTTTCTGCTAACTAGAAACACCAGAAAGAAAAGATCCTAAATATTTGCAATTTGCCAACTATAGTTCTATATTTGCCAACTATAATAAACACTTCCGCTATTTGAAATGTTGCTAAGTAGAAGATGCAATATTAAAATGTGCATAATAAGTTTTTTATTTTTAAATAAAGTAACTATAGACTATTTGAAATATTCTTCAATATGTTTTTTATTATTTCTATTAGAGCGTTCAAAGTTAAGCTTAGATAAACAATCAAGTGCAGAACTATTACAAAAATGGAGAACATTTATTGAGCCAGGTGATTGGCAAGATGATGCAGCTTGGTAATTGATTTGTATTTAAACAAATATATATAGAAACATAAATATATAGAAAACTACATATAGAAATATAAATTTGTATCTATAAATATTATATATGGATAAGTTTGTATCTATATATATTATATGTAGATACAAATTTATATTGTATTTATATTTATCATTATACAAGTATGTATATATGATAAATATAAATACATATATATATATATATATATATATATATATATATATATATATATATATATATATATATATATATATATATATATATATATATACACACACACAGGGGCTATTCTAGGAAAATAATTTGGGCGGCGGTACAACCCCCCCTGCACCTGTTGTAAGGAAGTTTGGTGAGAATATTGTTGTATATAGGCATTTTTTGCGAAAAAATGTTATTTGACATGAAAAAAAAGACTCCAATTTCTGAATTTGGCCAATCAAATATGGTCGGCGCTGTGGAAAACAGTCTAGAATACCCCCTGACATACATACATACATACATACATACATACATACATACATACATACATACATACATACATACATATATACATACATACATATGTTTTTCTTCAAAAGTGAAAATATATAAAAATTTCAAAAATAAAAAAAATTTATGAAAACCCAAATTAAAAAAGTTTATTTAAATAAACTTTGAAAACATGTACTTTTTTATTTTTTGTTAAAAAACAATAGTTTTTAAACCATAAAATTTAAACTAGTATTCTTTATAGAAAATAATAATTATTTACTTTTTATTTTAGAAACTTGATATGCTTTTAAAAAACTTTTTCTTCAAAATATTAGGGAACCGTCTGATGGTTATGGGTCTTCAACGACCCCCAAAAAAATTTTTTATTTAAAAGTTTTTAAAATTTATTATTTTTATTACGTAAAACACATTTAGGGGGTACCATTAGACATTTAAAAAAAATGTTGTTTTATGAGCCACCCTAATATATATATTAAGGCGATGACACAAGGTTCCTACTCCTCCTTAAAAGCTTTAAATATCCTTAAAAAAAACAACCTCCTTAAAAGTCCTTAGGGGAGATTCCATGTGAAAACATCCAGGGCATGCAACCCTAAGTCTCAGATTTTGCTGATTTTTACACCACTCAAAAATTTTAATAAGTTATGAACATTCCCGAAATTTTATTATCTAATTCCAAACGGTTCCAAAGATATGACTATTCAAACTTTGCCTTGAACCAACAAAAATCCGCCATTTTAAAAAATGGTTTTGGTCTTTGTTTCTGTTCTGTATACAATGGAAAGCTGAAAATATGTATGCTAACATATTTTGAGGCAAGGAGTCCAATAAAACAACTTAAAATTTTTAAAAATAAACAGAACACCTGTAATATTGACCTTTATCGCAATTTTACTGGGGCGAGTTTAATTACAAAAATGCCGATGTAGCTCGATTTTTTTTTTTCTTTTTTTTTTAGATGTCATCCTGAATAGTTTAGTTAGAGTTTTTACAAAGAATTGGAAAGTGGTCTTTTCTTAAAATGGAAAAAAAACACGGTCAAATTTACTTAAATTTGTTACATATAAAACAGGAATTATAAAAAATCAAAGGAAAAAAAAGGTTGAACTCTTATGGGCCTTATGCACAGAAGTTGGTATTTAATAATTTTCTGGAAATTTTTCCACTTACCCTGAGCTTATTATGACCCCCTCCTTCCTCCTCCTCCCCACTTTCCCTCTTTTATTAAATTTTTTATTCTTCTCCCCCCCCCCCTACCTTCCCTTGTTAGAAATAAAAATAAAAATTTCCACCCACCTGTTTATTAAAATCCTTTCCCTTTCCTTTTTACTCCCCATATATTACATCTGGACAAAAATATTAAACTTAAATTGTCAATTGATTGAAAAGGTTCAGCAAGATTGTTATGCTTAATTATGAGTGCAAGTGACCAGTATGTTTTGTTATCATTTCTCTTCCTTTATTTACAAATTCCTCCACAATTCTGAAAATTATACCGCAAAATTATAAAAATCACCTTCTGAAATAGCACTATTGCACTATGTTGCCTAATTGGAAGTTCCTTACCTATTGTTGTGAGAACTATTTTTTTAAATTATTTTCAGGTAAAAAAACAGGTAGATAAAAATAAATTAAATTATTTTCAGGTAAACAAACAGAGTTATATCTGCTATGATATTCTACTGATTATTACATTCTGACAATGAATTACCTTTTAGACGCATTTTTATAAACTATTAAATGCCAAATTAAATAAAATAATAAATGCTCATCATATAAAGCATGTTGTGGCACGTATAATGTGGCAATAGGTGATGGTAAACAACTTTATTAAATATTGATTTATTAAAAATTTACCAATAATTGTCTCAATCAATTGTTGGTCACTTGTCAATCAAAAAATAATTATTTATTATTCATTAAAATTAAGTCAAAACTTGTTTAGTATAGTAATAAAATATTTAAAAACATTAAATAAAAATGTTTTTAAATATTTTATTAAATTTTTTAATAATTAAAAAATAATAAAGATTATAATTTTTAAATAATTTAAATAATAATTAAGATTATGATTATATATTTGATAATTTTTTTTACTTTTGAAAATCTAACTCTTACTAAATTATTCAAGACAACTTTTGAAAAAAAAAAATTACATCTGCATTTTCATAATTGAATTCATCCCCAGTAAAATAATAATAAATTTTTGAAATTAAAGATCAATTTTATAAAATTACCTAGAAAACAGAAAAAGCAAGTCAGCAACTATTAAAGGAACAATTCGATATGGTCAAAGCTGTTTCAGTTTCATAACTGTCAAGTTACTATCAGATGCTTAATACATGGGAATTTTTATCTATATTAAATAAATGGGGGGAGATGGGAAAGACGGAAGGGCGGGGAGGAGAGAAAGGTAGTCTTAACAAAAAGGTGAGTGGAGACTTTTTTCCCTATAAGTATATTGTCTAATTTTTAAGACCTAAACCAGTCTTAAAGTTTAAAAAAGAATACCTGAAATTTTTTTTTTTAGATTTGAGGTACAGTTTTTTTGTTCATATTAATATCGTTTAATAAACGTGGGAAGGTGGGGGAGAGAGGGGGAGGAGAAGAATAAAAAGTTTAATAAAAGAGGGAAAGTGGGGAGGAGGAGAAGGGAGGGGGTCATAATAAGCTCAGGGTAAGTGGAAAAATTTCCAGAAAATTATTAAATACCAACTTCTGTGCATAAGGCACATAAGAGTTCAACCTTTTTTTTCCATTGATTTTTCATAATTCCTGTTTTATATGTAACAAATTTAAGTAAATTTGACCGTGTTTTTTTTCCATTCCATTAAGAAAAGATTTTTTTCCATTAAGAAAAGACCACTTTCCAATTCTTTGTAACAACTCTAACTAAACTATTCAGGATGACATCTAAAAAAAAAAGAAAAAAAAAAAAATCAAGCTACATCAGCATTTTTGTAATTAAACTCGCCCCAGTAAAATTGCGATTAAGGTCAAAATTACAGGTGTTCTGTTTATTTTTAAAAATTTTAAGTTGTTTTATTGGACTCCTTGCCTCAAAATATGTTAGCATACATATTTTCAGCTTTCCATTGTATACAGAACAGAAACAAAGACCAAAACCATTTTTTAAAATGGCGGAATTTTGTTGGTTCAAGGCAAAGTTTGAATAGTCATATCTTTGGAACCGTTTGGAATTAGATGATAAAATTTTGGGAATGTTCATAATTTATTAAAATCTTTGAGTGGTGTAAAAATCAGCAAAATCTGAGACTTAGGGTTGCATTTTCAAAAAAAATTGGATGTTTTCACATGGAATCTCCCTTAGATAACCTTTAAAAAAGTTAAAATTTGACTGCTCTCCTTAATTTCTCCTTATTTTTTTTTGTTTTTAATCATATAGGAATTTTTATTAGTGAATGGATTATACTTATTAATAAAGAAAAAATATATAATTCTTTAATAGTTTGCAAACCTATACTTCTTTCATATATATATATATATATATATATATATATATATATATATATATATATATATATATATATATATATATATATATATATATATATATATATATATATATATATATATATATATATATATATATATATATATATATATATATATATATATATATATATATATATATATATATATACATCAAGTAATATATTAATTTATAATAATTTCTCTGTTTATATTTAAAATTTATTGAAATAAATTTTAAATATAAAAAATTGTTGTTCACGACCAAATCTTCTTAAATATTAGGAAATCTCCTTAAATCTCTTTAAAATCCTTACTTTTAGCCTCAGTTTTAATAGTGAGAATCCTGTGACAACTTTGTTTTCTTGTATCATGGTATACTGAGCTTTTATTAAAAATTATATAAAATTTCAGCCATCATAATTTCAAATTTCAATTTTATAAAGTTTCAGCCATCATAATAAACAAAAAAAGGTCCGGAATTGCTTGAATATTCTAGCGTGCATAGCTGATGTTTAGAATCTGATGAAACTTCATTCTTCTTAGGGTATCAGTATACAACTAGTGACAATGCAAATTGTGTAAAACTTTCAAGATTTCATCTATAATTTAGGCAAATTTTTAGTTTTAGCTGAAATTTAAAAATAATTATCTTTTGATATTATCGACTGTAATCTCAGTTTGTTTTGTAGTCGAAATACCGACTTTTTATTTTTCAATATTTTTTCCCTTTTTTGTACAGTAAAAGTTTATATTTTCAGAAAATATTTCTTACTATATTTTGTTTTATTTTTCATAGTATGATCATAAATTGCTCAAAGAATATGTTTTTGGAATAATTAAAATCTCTTTAAAATCATTGAAATCTCTTTGGAATCTTTTGGAATATATTTTCAGAAAATATTTCTTACTATATTTTGTTTTATTTTTCATAGTATGATCATAAATTGCTCAAAGAATAAGTTTTTGGAATCATTGAAATCTCTTTGGAATCATGGAAATCTCTTTGGAATCATTGAAATCTCTTTGGAATCATTGAAATCTCTTTGGAATCATTGAAATCTCTTTGGAATCATTGAAGTCTTTTTGGAATCATTGAAATCTCTATGGAATCTTTGAAATCTCTTTAGAATCATTGAAATCTTTTTAGAATCATTGAAATCTCTTTGGAATCATTGAAATCTTTTTGAAATCATTGAAATCTCTTTGGAATCATTGAAATCTCTTTAGAATCATTTTATTTATTAGTAGAAAAAAAATATGAAATTTGATTCATGATGCAAAAATATCTAGAAATTTAGGCTTTAATCATTCAGCAGTCTAATGTGTAAACCTGTGAAATGTGTGAACTAGTAAAAAAAAAGTTTACTACTGTGCAACAGCAATCAAACTTATAGTAGGAAAGTGTAGAAAATTATGTTAATTATGAAAATTATGTGCACTTGCAGCTTATTCAAATCTCTTTTACACAGAGTTATACAGACAACAGCAATAGAAAACAGAAAATGTTGACAGATTTGGACTGAGAAACAAGTCTTTGACGATGTGATAAAAATGCTTTCTAAAAATGATGCATGCATCAATAGCTGCATTTTTATTGTAACAAAAATTTTAGCCACCCTTGACAACCATTATTAAAACTGGTGAAAAATCAACACAATTACTTGATGAGTTCCTTGATTCATAAGTCACACCATTATGCTTTGAATTTTTGAAGAACTATGAGAAAAAAATTTAACAGACTCAAAAAAACTGATTCTCAAAGATTATCAAAAAGAACTTCACTCTACCATTAACACCAATTAATGTTGAGAGACTTCAATTGCTGGAAATGTTTTGACAAATTAACAACATCAAATATTGCCTTCTAATTTGAAAAAGATTTTATTTTGTATAAAAATTTTTTTAATGATCAATTTTTAGTATAATTAAATTCTTACACAAAACTGACATAAAATCAAAAATTAAATGTTTTATTTATTCTTTTCAAATCTTTTTTATATATTCTGCACAAAGAAGTACTAGATGATTTAATCAATCTATAAAATTTGTTGATGATAAGGTGAAGAACACAATCCAGCATTTAGTGCAACTGATAAAGATTTTTTTTGCATAACCATTCACTATTCCTCTTAATTATATCAAACAGTTTAATGCATCAAAATTGTTCATCTTTTGCAGCGTCTTTTAGAAGTTTTGCTAGATTTGCATAAATGGTTTGACCAGATACATGCAAAAAGCTCAATATTTTGCTCTATAAGGCTTTAAGATTCGTAACAGACAAAAAATCTTCACTTTTTAATTGCATAGAACAAGCAGGTAATTTTAAATTTGATATCGCTTCTGTAGTAACCTAAGGTTTGCAGTGGCTTATGGAATTAAATTCTGGACTTAAAATCCACAATTTTTGTTAGACAACAAAACTTATTTATTTACTGCAAAAATATATTGCAATTTTGTTGACATTCCTATATTGACAAATAACAACCCTCTTACTCTCAGACAAAGTCTAAAAGCACATTGTAAATTAATTACATTTACAATGTGCTTTTAGACTTTGTATGCTTTATATGCCAAGCTTGAGCCACTCTCCCATTGTCGTAAGGTTGCATTTCTTTCTTTTTTCTAAAAATACCATCATGGCCAATGCTCAAACGAGCTATCATATTTATTATGATAAACCAAAACTCATTCTTTTTTGACTTCTTATTCAACAAGTTGCACCCTTTTACTGTATCTGTCCCTTCATGCTATAAAAACTTTCATTAACCCAGTTTTTTCTTTGCACATCTTCATGTTTTTCTTTTTTATACAACCTACAACTTTTTAAGTGTTAAGTTGACTGTTCCTAATAATTTAGCTTTTTCTCTATTTTAAAGTAACTTATAAGTTAATAGTGGTTGCTTGCAATCTTGTTGGAAGTAAATTAGAGTTTAAAAATACGTAAATATATGCCAGTATTTAATAAATAGTAAATGTAAGTATAAATTTATAATATATAAAGTATTATAAATTTTTTTCTAGCCCCGGTTATCAACCCCTGCTAAATTTTTTAATTTTGCCAGGGTTTGGGGCCAGTGTAGGGTTTGAAAAAAGTAGCATTTTTGAGCCAACGACATGACTGGAGCCGGGGCCTTGGTCATTTCCTACTGTCAATTCAGTTAAAAAGTTTGAATTAGTTTAAATTCATCTTGCGAACAGTTATGTTTCTGTGACATAACTGTCCAGCTGACCTTAACATAGTTTCCTATGATATTATGGAAAATTGTATACAAGTCTCTGGTACACATATTATTGCACATGTTGGTTTTTATGACTTTGGTTATGTATATAGATTTTCTTAGCCATGCTAATGACCTACATAACTTTTTAAAATTGTTTGTGTGTAACCTTTTTTTAATAGTTTAATGGTATCAACTTCATATATATATATATATATATATATATATATATATATATATATATATATATATATATATATATATATATATATATATATATATATATATATATATATATATATATATATATATATATATATATATATATATATATATATATATATATATATATATATATATATATATTGATTATTTAATAAATCTCGTAGGGAAAACAACAAAAGTTATTCAGTAGATAACTTTCTTGACGAAGTTCATAAAAAGTTGTATGGAAAGCGCAAAACCAAAATCAATGAAAGAGATAATGATGATGGCATAGACTCTAGTCTTGATGAAGAATACGAATTTTGCAATTCAGATGACGATTTATCAGAAGACGATGAGATGACAAAGAACATGAAAAGACTTGTCGATAAAGAGATTGACTACGATCTTGGAGATTCTGGTTATTCTGAAAATTTATTTACGCTAGATCACTCATACTCAAAACCAATAAACAGTCTTATTCTACCATGTTTTAAGCGTGAATCTACCGGAGTTGCTGCATTATTACACTTAGCAAACGCTGCAGCAATGCAGCTCAAACATCAAAGTTGCGGTCCTAAAATCACTAAGGAACAAGCTACGCTAACAGAATTTAACGATAACAATCAAATGATAGATGCCGATTTGGACTTTACAATAGAATCAAAATTTAGTGGTTTAGTTGAACTTGTTAATTAACTACTAGCTGTCTTTGTGTTTTCTTTCTAGTTTTGACGATGATGCTGCTATTTTTGTATAATAAATTAATATTTTTTGCTGACGTAGTTTTGAATTGACATATTTTATAAAATTTATTATATAACGAATTCGTACACCTAACACATTATATATTCATTTAATAAAAGATTTGTCATACGTGTTATGTATTTATTCTTGTATTTTAAATAAGCTTGGAGAATAGCTTTTAGTATAAAAATTACTTTTACTGGTATTTAAAAAAAACCTTATGTTCGCATTCGATTTTTCAGAGTTGCGTTTCATAATTTGTTTTATCACTCCAGGTTTAGAAAAAGAAATGATATTGATATACGTTTTCCGTGTTTTCAATGTTATTTGCTTTTTTTTTTTAATACTTATATTTTAAGAATTTTATTTGGATTTTGCTTGGTTTAAAGACATAATATTTTTTCTGTATATTTATTTTCATAATATTATCGATATTATCGAAAAAAACAAGTTTTTTATTTTTATTTATAATAGCATGTATTACGTAAATATTTTATTACGTTTAACGAACTCCAGAAAGTATTATTATAATCAAAATAAAATTTACTTTATAAACTATACGACAATTTTTTCTATAGAATGTTTTATTAAATTGAGCAGTGACGCTATTATTTGATGCGGATTGCAGGGAGCCGATAACTAAGGAATTAATACCAGGATATATTATTTGATGCGGATTGCAGGGGATAACTAAGGAATTAATACCAGGATATATTAAAATTAATACCAGGATATATTGAAAATTAATACCAGGATATATTAAAAATTAATACCAGGATATATTAAAAATTAATACCAGGATATATTAAAAAAAAGTAATTTTAAGTAATAACAAGCGCGATAAATTATAACTTGGTTGACTATTTCAGGGACATTCATAAGTATTCAATTTTAAGACAATAAGTAGCCATAACTGAAAATTTGATAAAATTATTTTTAAGGCGTTAATAAGTATTATTCCGTGTTTTAGTTTTTTTTTTTAGTAGATAATAACCTCACATTTAGTAATTTTTATTACGAGTTATTATGTAATTAATTTTTTTTATTATGTGTACTAATCATATTTTTATAAAATCACTTACGTATTTACTTAAAAATATAACAATATGAAATTATATTTTAGTTTAATATTCCTTGAAAAGTCAAATAGCATTTTTCATTAAAAAATTACTTTTTTAACTCGACTTAAATTGTTGTAATCTTTGTATTTCTTTTTGATCATTTTTAAGAATAAAGTCTTTCTGATTTGTGTAGAATTTTGGCTTTTCAGCTAAGTACGGACATTGTGCTAAGGGGTCCGAGGATTAATTTAGATTTAAACATGGATACAAATAGACGTGCAAAACGCATCTACAAAGCAAATTCCAGTAGACTTTAATAAGTTTTCGGGCCAAAAAATAATGCAACATTAACCGTGACTGGTTTAAATGATGGCAACAGCAATCAAGTTGTTACAGGAACACATGCTACTTTGTCAAACTGAGTATTTTTGGTAGAAACTGATCAGAAAAAAAGTCAATCTCCCACATGACTACAATAAATAGAAGTAACATAAACAAAAAGTTCAAGCATTTCAAACTATCGATTCAGCAATCTAGTCACACTTCACGACGTTAGAATTATCTTGTTCTATCTCCACTTTCTGAAAAAATTGAGTTAATGATAGTGTTGTGTTCCTCAAAATAATGTCTTTCTACTGAATTGAAACCTAAGTTATAAGTAAAAAAGTTTCGGAAAAAACATAAGTTATAAAAGAAAATTTATAGGCCGTCTCCTGAAGTTTTGTTTTTTTAAATCGTTTTATCTCAAAACTAAAAAATGTGGAGATAGAACAAGATAATACTAACGTCGCAATTTGCTTCATTATTCTGTTTTTAAGTAAAATTCGTTAATCAGTAAAAAGAAAAACAACAAAGAGTTAATAATAATCACTAAGCTGAGACAGGAGCCGAATGAGAACAACCGTATTGAAAATATAGTTACACTAAGCAATATTGAACCATCTTAAGGACCTGAGGTTTAAATCAAAAATTAAGATAATCAGTTAGTAAGGAAAATTCTATCTGTACAATATCTGTACAGTTTAATGCTAGCTTTTAATGAACTTAGTGCCTAATACTTAAAACGTCCAGCCTACACTTGACTCCAGCCTTCACTATCCGTAGCAAAAACAGTATCAATAATCAATCGAGCAGTAAAAGTAATTTTATAGATTTAAGTGAAATCACCTGGTTCTACACAAATGCTTTATTGCTTTGTAATAAAATGAACATTTTTGCTGGAACTGTCACAACAATTCTCTTATGATAACAGACATAACTGATATGGTGGTGTTGCAATTTAAATAAGAAAAGTTGTAGATGCATTCTACTTTAATGCAATTGAGTTTCATAGTATATTGGTTGACCAGCTTTGATATAAAGTTTTTTGCAAAAGTAGGAAATTCCTCTTTAGATGCATTTTGGGGAGCCATCTGCAAACATAAAACTCAACAAAACAATTAATTGAAGCCTAACTTCTGCTGCAACTATAGTGGACACAAAAAGATGTAAAACTACAGGAGAACTTCTATATTTTTAAAAGTTGATTTCAATTAACCTACAGTGTCAGGGTAGTTGAAATCAACCTTTTAACAAGTTCAATTACCCTGAGACTGTATGTCAGGGTAGTTGAAATCACCAAAAGATTGGTGATTTCAATTACCTTGTATATACAGTATACGGCAACTGGTAGCATTCCTAAAAATACAACTATATTGAACATTGACTGGAATCTGTCAACATTGCATCTCTTGCAAAGTATGCGACAAAATTATTTTTGTAACAATACCATTGGCCTGGTGCTAACTGACTGCTCCTCTAGAATTATAGAAGCTGTATTAATTTACCTCTTGGGAGCTTAATTAAAAACAATTTCCATTGCAGTCTTATATGAAATTTCCTGTTTGAGCCGTTAACCACCTCTACTAGACTATTATCATCGAACAAATCAAACTATATTAGAGACAATTATGAATACTTTAACACGTTTTAAATCAAAGTTAAAAGAAAAAAAAAAATTCGAAAATGGAAAGTAGTTAAAAATAATTAAAATAATTTATAAAAATCATCACCGTTTATGAAGAAGCAAAAAAAAAATAATTTTTAAAATTTAATGATATTTTAATTTTTATTAACTTTGAGGGGGCAATATGTGTTTTGCTGAGTATTATGATAAGATTTCCTTTTTTGTTTGAATATTTTCATTTATTATGAGCTCTCGATACTTTTCTTGACTAAATGTTTGTGCGTGTGTGTGTGTGTGTGTGTGTGTGTGTGTGTGTGTGTGTGTGTGTGTATGATGTGTATATGTGTGTGTGCGTGCGTGATGTGATGTGTGTGTGACACTTTTTTATTTGCGAGTGTTATTACAAAAAAAAAAGTTTTTATTTTTATTTTTCAAGGAAATATTTATAGTACTTTTATTATTTTTGTTATGGTGATTGATAATAAGATTATTATATTTATTAAATCCCAGTAAACACAGAATGGTTCAGAATTAATCAATATTTATTCAAAATTCTTTGCAAAATGGATAAAACGTTTAGCCCCCTATTATCGATCAAAAATAAACATTTGAATTGAAGTGTACATTTCAAACTTTTTTATATATACGTTTATTAAACGTCGATCTAACGTTTTAATTATCGATTATTTGAATTTAATTATCGATTTGAATTTGATTATCGATTATTTGAATATTGAATAATATTAGTCAGTATTGTAAACCTTTAACTGACCGTAAATAAACGTAAAATTTACAGAATTAAAGTTTATGCTTTAAATCTTTTAACAACTATGTTTATTAAACGTCTATCAAACGTTTATGATATTGACTAATATATCTTGACATTCTTAACGTTTGATCGACGTTTAATAAACGTATTTTATATTATAATATAGTTTTATAGCCATGGATCAGAAGACTGATATGACAAGTTAAGCCACGCGGTTTAATTAAGGACAATTAAAACGGAATTGCAAAAGACAAAAATATAGATATTAGACATTCAAAAAATTAAAAAACATAATATTACGAAAATATTGGCATTAAGATAAATTCAACAAACTATTTATTCTTGACACCAACATAACAGGTAAAATTGGTTGAATATTTCAATATTATATGTTTTATTATATTAATATAAGTAAATATTTGTATTGAAGTCATGAATACTCAAAAACTTTATTATTTATTACTTTATACGAATAAAATAAACAAATAAGTTGTAAAGCTCCTTATCTCTAGATTAAAGATAAGATTTATAGTACTTTGGAGTCTAAAGTTGTTAAGTTAGTCGGAAACTGTTAAAAACTGACAAGAACATAATGACCTACATTCAGTTGTAGTAATTGTAATAAAATATGTAAAATAAATGGAGGACTTAAAAACCACGTACCCGTGACTCGGTAAATAACGAAGCTTTTTGTTTTACAACTGAAAAGTAATTTTTCATTGGGAGTATAACTAAATTAGACTTGAACGCTTTTTCAATATTCACTTCATTACAACAACTGAAAGCAAAATAGCTAGTAAATAAATAATAAACGAGTTTCGAGTGTGCCATTTTAAATCATTGAAGTTAAAAGGCTCTTTTAGCAATAACCAATGGCAGCTACCCTCCTAAATGCCAAAAAAACCATTGAAATCCGTTGTTTTAGAAATTATTGATGACCACATTGACACAGTTAAACAATATGAGTTGTTGATCTCTTGCTATGAAAATCCTTGTGCAACAATTTTTTTGTAATTCTTGTAAATAGCTGTGCAGTTTAAAGTCATTTTGTAAACGCAAGTATGATTGCGTAATAGTAGCAATTCATCTTTGCTAAAATTAAGAGGTTTAACAATTAAATTTATATTTTTTTATTTAAGTTGCATTTGCTAAAATGCTGAAGCAGATCTGGTAAAGACATAATATAATATGTCGCAAATTTTTAATAATTTTTTAATGTCAAAAATTAGGTTAATAGAGGAAATTTTGGAAAACTTTCATTCAGAAAATCGTCTATTTGCAAAGTTGTTATTGGTAACTTTAATTTTGATTTTCGAATTTTTAAAAGGCTATTATTTTACTCTAGTTTTTTGTGGTTACAAAAATAGACAGGATACAAAAAGTAAATAAATCATGATTATTAACTTATTAATTATTATTTTTTTAGAACCTATAATGTGCAACTTTCCAAATAGTCAATTGCCCAACACATAGTACTATTGCTTCTTATTTAAAGTAAGCATCATGGAAAATAGGAAGAACGAGATAAAACATCTTCAAGAACAAAGAAACTGGTGTGATTATTAAAGATCAAGAACATAAAGAAGACGATCAGTTATTGCACAGAAACCGGCGGATGATGAACGGTGTACTAAAAGGATTTTTGATGATGCATAAACCAGAGAACATTGTGATCCAAAATATATTTTTATTGGTTTACTAATTTTTTT